TTTGGTATTGGGAGTTAAGACAACCTATGGCGATCTTTTGATCGTACTTTTTCCGGAGAATTATAGAGCGAGATAATAAGTCCTAACACTATGTACTTAATTTTCTATGGATTTTCGAGCGTGAAAAGATCGGAACTTTAATAAGAAAAAACATAGCCGAAAAAATACGAGCTTGAACCTCCACAAAAACAAAACATAGCCGGAAAGTCGCCAGAAAAGTACGAGCTTGAACCTCCACAAAAACTCCACAAGCTTGGTCTAGGGAGAAAAAAAAAGAAAAGAGAGCAATTCCTGAAAAAGAAATAAATGAAGTATAGGTCCTCAAAATACGAAGAGTTCAATCACACACAAAAAACACGCACATTAAAAATTCAGCACTCGCTTGGTAGAGAGCTGGTTCGCTAGGTGATCAACGCGCCACCTCCATCAATCTGCTGTCTACCACAAGGACAATGAAAATTTCATGCCATCGGACTCTATTCTCTTTCTTCTTCTACTTTAAAGCTATAAACTCTATTTTTTTCTTACAAACCCAACGATATGAAGAGGAATAAAAAAATATGGAGAGATAGTGAATGAGATAAGGTATAAAATGGTTTTGGAAACAAATTGATAAATAGTACCATAAAATATGCTCTTTATCATGTTTAAAATATAAATTTAACAAAAGTAAAAACTTGTATATGTGAAAATAATTATGGTAATTTTAGTTAATTCGCAAATAAATATATATTCGATGTATATATATAATATAAAGAATAATGGTTGATATGTAAGGTAATTTTCTCTGGCCAATTTTTTTACTTACCACAAGAAGATTAAAAAATTGCATATGTATGAGATATCTGATTTTAATAGCACCCATACCAAATTGAATTGCTTTTATTCGTGGAGGANGTGGATATATACTATTTATTAGGCGATTGTTCTTATCAGAATGGAAACTAGTTTGATTTGAAATTCAAACGTATTATCTCTCTTTCAAAATACAGTAAAAAACCCCGACATTGAGATATACAGTATGTTTACGATTCACAACATGAAGTTTCTGCCTGCCACAAGTACTCGAACATATACGTAATATATACTAGAAGACTAATTCATCGGAGTTTTTCCGAACATATAGGCAATATATACGTAATATATATACGAGCAGACTGATTCATACACCGAACATAAACAGAACATATACTGAAAATAACAACAGATCCAGGCGTCAGATGTTGGTCGGAAATCGTGGGTCACTGGGTTGTGTTGCGAGAAGCCGGACAAGGCTGGTGTCATGCTCAGCGGAGGATGAGGCTCGTCGGGGAGGGTCAGGCGTACAATTGCCGAGCGACATGAGTTCGAACTCGCCGAGATTGGATGCTCTTGCGGCGGGTGGCTCGCCGGAGATGAAGAGAGAATTTTTCTTCTCGGAAGATGAAGCTTTCTTCTCGGAAGGATAATGGCTAGGAGAGAGGAAGGGATTACAAAAAATATGAGAACATTTGACTTTAGGAGAGAGAAAGGGGTTACTATAAATTATTTATCAACTATTTCTCGTAATACTGCAAATAAAAGATGGAATAAAAAAATATGAAGAAGCTATAAACTCTATTCTCTTTCTTCTTCTACTTTGAAACTATAAACTCTATTTTTTTCTTACAAATCCAACGATGAAGAAGGAATAAAAAAATTTGGAGAGATAGTGAATGAGATAAGGTATAAAATGGTTTGGAAACAAATTGATAAATAGTACCATAAAATATGCTCTTTACCATGTTTAAAATCTATACATATATAATAAGAATTACCATTTAACAAAAATAGTAGCAAAAAAATAGAAGAGAATTTAATGCAACCTATAAATAGTAAGTTTTATTTTTTTTTATTTTTATCTTTGGAAATTCATACAACATTTAATGTTGCATTAAATCTTTGGCTTTAATTCATTTTATATTTAAAATTTCTAGCTAAGATCTATTAAGTGTGTATTTTTCATTTTTATTTTATTTTCTCATATTAACAACGAAGAACATTAATATCTCAGTCTCTATATTTATAAAATCTCAATTGAAAAGGTAATAAAAATTTTAGAATATCGGTCTTTATATTTATGCCTTTCAAAAAAAAATATTGAATGCTATTTGTTAAATATCATTTTCCACTAATCATCACAATTTTTTTATTTGGAACGTGTGATAAAAAAAACTTGGTAATGTTTATCACTTATTTGTTTACCAATCTATTGTTTTTTCTATACTCAGTTTCAAAAGGTAAAATAATTATCAAATTATCAGTCTCAATAATTGTGCATTTAAAAAAAATATATTTAATGATAATATATCATTTGTTAATATTACACAATTTTGAAAACTCCATTATAAATTGTATGTTGATATCCAAATCATTTTATAAATGCAATCGACTTTGTCAAATCTCCATGAAAATATGGTAAAACAAAATGAGACGATCAACTTTGTATAGAAATAAAATAAAATCAATAAATCAATATGAAGTTCACAGGAAATTAACATAATGAATAATTTGTAGAGTACACGGATCTAAAAAATAATACTCACGTGGATTCTAAAATTCAAACTTGTACTTATCATCATGTTCTGGAAATTGAATAACATAATTTTAGACATGTATTATTTATAAAATAGTTTAGAAAGATTTTAGGTGACTTCACATCTTCAATAATGATATATAAAATTTTAGATACTTTACATATGTTATATAATATTTTAGGTGTTTTTAATATTTTAACATACATTTTTTATGTTATTTTATACAAGATAAATTTATATTGTTTACAACTGATATACGATAAATTATATCACATATTAACTCCACATCTTAATTACACTTATTAGTTAATATCTCCACATCTTAATTACAATTATTAGTTAATATTGTTTACCCTCATATTTAATTTATAATTATTAATTAATATTATTTACAGTCATCGTTAATTCATAATTATTATTTAAAAGTAAAAAAGTGTATATGTGCAAATAATTATGGTAAATTTAGTTGATTCGCACATAATGATAAATATATATTCAGTGTATATATATAATATAAAGAATAATAGTTGATATGTTGGGTAATTTTATCTTTATGCCCCAAACTCCTAATTAAGCCCAATATCTAACTGGGCCACAAATAACTTTGGACCTAAAATACGCAAACGAAACATGAAATATCACAGGATTATCTCATTTATCTTAGACAACTCATCAATGTAAACGAGGCCACAGATTAGCAATCAATCCCAATAGAGATGTTAAATGGTCCTTGGTTCGATGGGCCGGTCTGTTTAGTCCGAAAAAATAGAGGGTTAGGTCCTTTTATTAGTAGCCCGTTTAAATCATGACTTTTTAGGCCCAGACCGTTTAGCCTGAAGCCCACTAGGGCTAGCCCGGAACCCGCTAGGATTGGTCCGTTTAACTAGGGTTGGGCGGTGTAAATGTTTGCATCAAGTAAGTAATATGCTCTTAGATTCCTTGTATATTACAATTTTGATATTCCACTTCACATGTAAGTACGATTTGTAATGAATTATTATGATTTTGAAAGATAATTATTAACAATATTGTTATTGAGCTTCATACCAAAATATCTAAGCCAATCAGAACGACTAATAAGAAATACATGAAACATAGTGATAGACGGTAAATACTAAATAGCCGTTGAAAACAATTTTTAACTAGCCGTTGTTATTTTTTTTATATTTTTTACTTTTTTTATTTTTTATTTTTTTTTTTTTATATATTATTATTATTATTATTATTATTATTATTATTATTATAGCCATAGCCCTCATAGCCCGTTTAGTCCGAAACCCGCTAGAATTAGGGTTAAGTCTTTTTTTGGTAGCCCGTTTAAATCCGAGTTTTTTAGGTCCGGACCGTTTAACCCGAAGCCCGCTAGGGCTAGCCCATTAACATCTCTACCCTACACTCGGATGTATATAGGGATTGCCAATACCATAACATGGGGCAATTATTAAAAGTGTAGAAATCTCAATCATTGTTCTTCACGATTAAGGGGCAGCAAGATGGGGGTTTTGCCCAAATTGTGGAAGTCCGAATCTCAAGAATGGTTACTATTCGGGTTATTTCACTTTATATATTTACTTAATTAAAATTTAATACATGTGAATTAAGCAGAGTTTATGAAATTATAACTTTTGTTCTAAAAGAAATTTTCTGTAATGTTTAAGTTAAAACATTTATTAGATTCAGTCATGCAGGCGATTTCTTAAAAAAGTGAAATCGACCATTTTTCCGAATTCTGTCGTAGTTTGTACAAGTATGGCAGTGGTCATCAATTATAATACGTTTAACTCACTTTATTAGCTATTTTTAGACTCTCCATCATATCAGTCTGTAATTGATAATTTAAAAATAAAACAAATAAAAAAAAATTGGTTACCATTACAAAAATATGATACAAACTAAAAAATATAAAATAATAAATCGACGATATTTATTAAACATCATCACGTGTATAAAATAAAACTTAAGTTCAATTGTAATATTTTATGTAAAATAACGAATGAATACTAATGAAAATAATAAAATTATTTATCAAAATACATAAATGTATTCATAAGTCATCATACGATATGAATTAAAAATTATTGTAATATAAAATGGGTAAACCGTACAAATGAATGGTGTAATTTTAAATATAATAAATAATAAAAAAATTCTTAAAAATTATTTGAAATTTAAACAATTTTTTTTTTTTTAAAGTAAGTATAACACAAGTGTTGTACTAAAATGGAAATGTGAGTCTCTATATACCCATGAAATAGGGACAAGATATGTGGCAAGTATATAATGTTTGAGATTTATTTAACTATTTTAATAATTGGTCCTTCGGTGACGTTGACCCGTGGGCTGCGACTGTGACCTTGACAGTTGACTGCAGCGTTGATAATTGACCTGCGACCAATAGCCTTTTCAAATTCAAAACTGCACATTTAATTCAATAATAATGCATACTTAGTTGATGCCAACTGTATATTTTAATTTCTTAAAGACATGCTTAAATATTTTGAAGTTCATACTTAATTATCAGAAATTCTTATTTTTCAAAGACAAAGTGCATACTTCATGGCTATGATGGTGAGAATAAGAAGATAAATATTTGAAGAAAAATGTCTACGATTTTAAACTGCATATTAAGTTATCAGAAAATGCTTATTTATCATCGAAGAAATGCACACATCTTGAAAATATATGTAAGCAAAGCAGCTAAAATATTCATCTTTATTGTGGCCGCTGTCGACGACCCTAAAATTGTCCTTAGGCTCAGTCTCCCTGTCACCGGATGCGTCAACATGAAGTAGGTCGGCAAGTGTTTCAAATTATTTAAAGATAAAGTTAACAATGACCATATGCAATTCATATTAACTAAGTATGCATTATGTATAAATTAAATGGGCATTGTTTTGAACTAAATATTCAATATAAAAATGACAGTGGCGCCGCAGACGGTGTCGACCGTTGACCAACGCAATTCACTTTTGACATGGAAATACTTTAATCTCAAATGATTAATATAAGCCATTGATTTTACACAAATCAATGGCTACCTAGGATTGATTTTTAAATCCTCAATTAAAAGAAGGGTCCCATTAGATCCGCCATACACACACAGAGTAAGACTGTTGTTAGGCAGGACTAAGGATTGGGCAACTATACTTATTCAACAAAATGTTTATACTTTTATACATAAGTGGCATACATTAAAAAATAATAAAAATAAAAGTATGACATTGGTATAAATTTGCAATCTAGTTAATATAATATGACAATTTATGATATATATATATATATATATATGTGTGTGTGTGTGTGTGTGTGTGTGTGTGTGTGTGTGGAGTTACTACTTGAAACATAAGAGCATCCGCTATGTTTTGGGTCTAATTTTGTGTAGTTGTCAATATAGTAGACTTGGGTCTTAAATGGTGTGGAGAAATTATAGAAAAAATATACCATATATACTCCAATGCAATTTTTTTAACTTGACAGACTACAGTGAAGTGAAACAAAATTATTATGAGTGGTTTGTCGAGTTTAAAATGATATACAAATAAAAAATCATGAGTGTTTATTAAAATAGTACTGACTTTTATGAAAATATTTAATCTAGACTCATGTAATGGGTCATTTAATCCTCTTTTCGCATATCACATCACTTTTGTTTGCATTGGAGACCACTTTTTATCCAAGACGCCCAAAATCGTATGTGACACTAAATTTTTTTTCTCCAATAGACTCAAGCATTTGAGATGCTACAAGAATACCACAGTCTCAAATTAATTTGAACTATTATTAGCTAATTTGATACCAAGGAACTAAAATACCCAATCAGATATGCAGGTGGCAATCCAACATTGTTATACATCTAACAATCAAAATAATGAAGATTCAATTTCAATTTATAA